CCTCCCTCCCCCAAATCGGTTATCCGTGCTAACAGCTCGCCATCCAAACGGGTACAGTACATGTGGTGAGACATGCTACTGAATATAGAGGGTAGGGTATTGTTATTTAATGGGTGTCTACCCATCTGTATCTTGATGTGCCTGAAAACTAGTAGAAGTGTGCTTGGTTCTCTCTTGTGCCCGGTTTTTTATCGGGTATTCCGGTTCTCCTTCAAAAGTGACCCTTCCATCTTGGCTGTGGTCCGCGATCAGACATGGGTAGTAAGCCTTTTACTGGGTCCCTTTTGAGCTGCGTTCTTAAGCAAGGAAAGCTGGTTATATATTTAACTAGAAAATACATGCATGCACAACCCCTCGCCTTTCTTAACAGATGAAGTATAAAAACTCCACATAAAGTATTAAGACCATTATAAACAAACAAAAACACAACTGATGCGCTGCTTTATAATGAACGATAACATTCACTGCAATTTCATGCATACCAGCTTGCATTAAAGTGAATTATCGAGTTAAGAATGGCTTAAAAATTTCGCAGATATGAATAAAACCGACAACACAAAGCAAGTACGGCATGGAATTTTACTACTGAAATGTTAACACTTACCCAAACCGGCACAACAACGATTAAATTATCAAAAACATCAACATCAAAACATCAAAACAATTATTATACAAACTTTGTTTCACGGTTGAACAGCCACTAATTCATGAAACTGCAGGTTTATTTCCAGTTGAAATCGAGAAAAACCGTATTGTACTTCTGTAAATTTTTTAACGAAATTTAAAACAAAAAATTGCTTGTAAAACAGCAAAATACGTCCTTTCAAAATGAAAAACAATTACTTCGACAGAGTTTGTACTCGCGCATGCGCATAACGTCGAAAACCGTCCATGACATAAACAAGATGGAGGACAACTTTGCACTCCGCTATGTTTTCACATACCCGGGTATAACTAGAAAATGCCTGCATGCAGCAACCCTTCGCCTTTCTTAACAGATGAAGTATAAAAACTCCACATAAAGTATTAAGACCATTATAAACAAACATAAAAACACAACTGATATGCTAGCTTTATAATGAACGATAACATTCACTGCAATTTCATGCATTCCAGCTTGCATAAAAGTGAATTATCAAGTTAAGAATGGCTTAAAAACTTCGAATAAAACCGACAACACAAAGCAAGTACGGCATGGAATTTTACTACTGAAATGTTTACACTTACCCAAACCGGCACAATAACGATTAAATTATCAAAGACATCAAAACATCAAAATAATTATTATACAAACTTTGTTTCACGGTTGAACAGCCACTAATTCATGAAACTGCATGCTTATTTCGAGTTAAAATCGAGGAAAAAACCGTGTTGTACTTTTGTGAACTTTTGAACGAAATTTAAAACAAAAACTTGCTGTAAAACAGCAAAATACGTCCTTTCAAAATGAAAAACAATTTATACTTCGACAGAGCTTGTACTCGCGCATGCGCATAACGTCGAAAACCGTCCATGACATAAACAAAATGGAGGACAACTTTGCACTCCGCTATGTTTTCCCATACCCAGGTATAATTAGCCTTGCGGAATTAGTACCCTCGCACGGCGCTTCGCGCCGCCGGCTCGGGGATTAGAAAATCTTGCACATTTTTACATTATGCATTCTTCGTATATAATGCCATGTACTTTCATTTATCATATTACCGTCGTTTGCGTCGAGGATGAAGAGTCGCATATCAAATCATTGTTCATGCTCACGTGGAACGTTCTTTACATTGTGCGCTGGGATAAACCCCAAACTGGCCCTTTCGTCGTAACTGTGCTGCAGATGCGCCCTTAGAAAGCATTCGACTCGATCAGGTTCAGCTGTGTCGTTCGTAATCTCTAAATCAGCTTAGTTCTCTTTCGCAATTAAGAATGATCAGCACACCCCATTTACTTATATGCATACTTACTTACTTGAATGATCTAAAGCCTGGTTTCCATATGGTCGTTACGGTCGTAGAGATTGAGTCACGATCTTTCTCATCAGCCGAAATACAACATTTTAGAACTGAAAATACGTGGAGTGATTATATGTAACTAGAGAATACTTATGATTTATATGTGGTTTACAGGTATAAACTATTATAAACTGAAATCTGCTGTGTTGGTGTAATGTACTCAGGTGAATAAGATGTTTGTGTGATGTTACTCTGAGTGTATATCCACACCGGGCAGGCTTGAAAAATATGCCTGGCCACGGCGGGATTCGAACCTACGACCTTTGGAATACTAG